CAGGGTTTTCTGAGTTGAATAAAATCTCAACGACTGTAGCCAGTAAAGACCTACCCCCTCGCCATTTTCTTACTCGCCGACAATTCTTTAAGAGGGGCCTAGTATCTTGCTTGCCACGCAGTTATCTCGCTGTGGCCTGCGACCCAAATAAGCTTAATAGCGAAGTAATCTGATTCCATCGAAACGAGGTTAGGCATTCGCTGGCCGTTTTCGAACGTCTGTTTAAAAACCCAAGGATTCTTATTGTGTTATGGTTTTGCATTTCTAAGCAACCGCTCCGATGCTGCCTTTATAGCGGCCAACTTTACTTGAAAAGCATTGCAGTGATAGCCTAAATTTGCCATTGATGGAGAGTTCTTCTTTCCATCCTACTTCGATCTAATGGTAAAAAATTTTTCACGGGTTCATGGTTACAAATACTACACCCATCCTTTCTTTATTTCAGAAGGGTATTTTGGTGCTGAAGTGCAGAAAATTACTCAAATTTCATATTAGATAAATATAAAGCGAAAAAAGTCGTAGGAATGAAGACAGACAAAGAAAAATCTTTAATGAACCAGGAGAAATGTTTTGTTACGTTATGTTTTGTTTTTTTTTAGGCTATGTTATGATCTTTAATATTATGTCATGTTATGTTAGCTTATGTTATGCTATGCTATGTTATGCCGCGCCATATTAAGTTATGTTGTTCAACGCATTTCACCTCAACTCACCACCGGTCTCTTGAACTCACCTCAAGAGACCTCACATCGGCTTCTCTCAGTTCACCTCCACTCTCATTAAACACTCGAATTTCAACCGCTGGGTGAAGACTAGTATTAAAAAATTGGTAAAAAGAGTTTATAAAAACATTTGACTTCCCGACTACTTCCCTATCCAAACAACAATTTATTAATTCGGCAAACCACCTGCATTTGATAGCCAACCAATGAAATTAGAAGTACAGCAACAACAACGCAATAATCAAAAGCATAAAAACAATATGTAGTATTGCAGCACTCGGCCAGCTTGCGAAATGTTCAAAAAACATGCAATTAAGTCGTTAATACTTCATCGATTTAATTCCCTACACAAGCGCTCAAACCAATGACTAGCAGTCGAAGAGCGCTACACACCCATCCCCCTATAAGAAATAAATACTCCAACACCAAAACGAATACGCCCGCATACGCGTAAGCACAACGCTCAGTTTTATTAAACGCCGGCGAACGAATGAAGGCGGCAAATTTGCACTGGGTAGAGGTTGAAAGGATTAAAGCATTAGCGCGTGCGGACGTCCACGGATGAGCCGACTTCGTCATCAGTGTCGTGTCGTCAAATGAATGTTTGCTAAATGCAAAAATGATACCTACTTTAAATTTTTGGTAAGCAAACAACGTGAAACAAACGACCAGGAGGCGCATAGGCTGGCGCACCAGAAGCACTCGGCCATACATTTGCACAACAACCCAACTCCTAGCCGGGTTTGTGCTTCCTTTTAGCCAACAACGTGCACACATACAACCACACGTTCACACGTACATACTCGTAGCCATTCGTTGTGTTGGTTATTTTCCATTTGTCTGTCGCGCGGCGTCTATCAATTCATCAAAACTGAAACAGCGCAAACAGAGCGCGCGCACAAACAGTACACCTACACAGATGCACACAGAAATTTATGTGCCCGTACGCAGCGAAATGCGGCAGGTGATAGGGTTGTATGTAGATAAAAATCCATCTAAAAAAAAAGTAAACACCAGCAACGGAAGCGGAAATGGAATTGGCAACGTTGTTAAGTTGACGCTGGCGAGGCAACTAAAAGGCTGGCCGTCACAGAGTTGGCGGAGGGCAAGCAGGCCGCTGCTGCTGCTGTTGTAGGCAATATATGACTATCATAACTGTCTGCTACTGCGTGTAGTTGTAATTTTCCTTGTTGTAGACGCTTGCGCCTGTTTGTTGTATAGCCTTTGGTATTTGCCGCCTGCTGTTGGTAGCCGTTTACTGTTTTATTTTTGTTTGTTTGTTGGTGTTGATGTTGACGCTATTTGCGAACAAACTGACAACGCGATTCGCGCAGAGTTTTTGATTAGTTTCCCCGATATTTTTTTCTTTTCTTTTATTTTTTCTGAGATGCAATTATGTTGCTAACGTTGCGCTCTCCTTCCTAATGGAAAAATTTCATTTTCATTTTAAATTTTAAAGGTCGAACGGAAATGTACTAGCTCTCTTTTTTAAAGGTATTTCCTCCCTTTGTATTTGTCCCTTTGTCATGTAGGCGAGGGAAAGTGGATTTCATCCCAAAGATTATCGCCGCGGTCAGCGGTCACTTGAATTTAACAAGTATACTCTGGCAGTCTCCTCGATATAGAAGGAGCCTTTAACAGTGTTTGGGTAGAGATTATCCAAAAACCGATCCACGAGCTTAGCGTCGAGGAGTCTATAATGCACAGCAGAACGATTTCAGCTGTCCAATTTTATGGCTTAACACCATTCACTCAGTACTACTCAAGCTCATCCAAGGGGGAGTAAAAGTAGTGGCCTACGCTAACCATGTAGAGATTTTAGTTATTTCCATCTGTGGTGAGTAACATCACCACGGCCACAATGTTATTACACACCTATTTCCTATAGACCTTCACATAATACACACCGCACGGGCATAGCAGTATAAATAATATCTCGTTTGCCACCTAAGATGAGACCGGCTACCGATTACATACGAGTTTCACACACATTTCGGGATTATTTTTCCGTCGAGATCCAACTGGGACGGCGAACTTGATACCTCTGCCTGCATACATCATCTGTACACTGATGGCTCTAAAATGGAACGCGCAATTGGAGCAGGCGTTTACTCTGAATCCCTGGGGTTAAGAAGATCAATTCATCTGCCCGATTTTGCAAGTGTTTTAAAGGCAGAAGTATTCGATAGAACCGAAGGCTGCCGTGTGGTTTACGTCACAGCGAGTGCGTAGCAATTTTGTCTTGGCGGCCATTAAGGCCTTGGCGTCTTTAACAGCATAGTCAAAACTAATCCAGGAGTGCAGGACTTTTTTAAACTCAGTATGTAGTCAGCTCGGTATAGATTGAGTTTAGCTCCCTGGTCATCGTAACATTTCCGGAAACGAAGCTGCGGACGAGGCAGCCACAGAGGGTTCCTAATTGGTATCGATCGAGGATCGGATCTCACCCCCAATTGGAGCCTTATATAGACATATTTCTCAACAACCTTCGGCGGCAGGCGGCCGTATATCAAAACACATGTGGCCTGTGTACAACGCTAAGAGAACGCAGAAGTTATTAAGAAGACTCAATCTGACTTTGCAATGCTAGTAGCGACTTTCACTGGGCACTGGTCGATTGGCATCCACGCGATAAGGCATCGCCTACAATGAAAACTATTCGATATAAGTCTCTCAAACATGCTCAACTTTATCAACCACGCCGGTTGGTTCTAACATATTCAGTCGTGGTATATCGTACCAAAATGGCACTCAGTTGCTACTTGGGCGCAAACGTTTTTCCGCCACCATTCTAAAGGCAGTGTCACACGATTGGTCATTTGCCCAAAATTTTACTAGGAACCAATTTGTCACCAACAGAGACTGGTGTTCACATACCCACACCAAAACTCAACTCGGTCTTAAAACGTAGATGTATTGGCAATTCTCGGCTTCTGACGGAGCGGCATATCTTGCCATAAAAGATTCACTATCGGAGTGTAAGCTTAAGAATGTGGCTTATCCATGAGCAGGATAAGTATGAAATTTTGATGAGCAACATACATAAATAAATAATTACATCTACCTTCATTGTGTGTTTAGATGGGTCGCGAAGAAAGTACATCCACCAAATATTTGGTTTATAGAAAGCTTAATATTAGATAGCTTGAGATTACACAATTGGGCCGAACTTCAAAAAGTGTATACTAAGGATAGCTTACCCAACCAGGATCCTTATTTCATGTTTTGGAACTGCTGTACTGTATACAGTTTGGAAGACCCTTATAAGTACACCAAAAATAGCATATGACACCTTTAATGATCTAAGCGCTCTAGGAACTATGCATTAAGTATTACTGGGATGGCTACTATGCGATGAATGTAAAAATTGTTGTGCGATTTTCATCCCTTTTACTGATTTTCGCTTAAGAGCATTTCCACCGAACTCAGTCCGCTCTAGTATTTTTAAGTGCTTCTAGGTCGTGTTGACGTTTTGTATAATGAATCTACTGTACTTGGGCTGTTCAAATTCAACAACATCGTCACTTTCAATCTATCGTCCATCTGGTTTTCACGGTTGTTTACTGGATTTCTGACTGCTCCTGTATATGACTTATGCCTTTGGTGGCCAAAACAAGAACCACCAAAGGATTTCATTGCCCGTCGTTGTATGAGTCGCTTCTAGAATGGACTCTATGGATTTGTTCAGCACATTTCGGACAGTGTGTTGATCACTTCCAAAGCATGTCAGAGTGTGTATCGGAGGATATTCTGTATCACTGTCTTAGATATTGGTCTACCAGGGACATTTTAGGAATCACTAGGAAAGGTATATCGGCTCGGAAATGTAAGGTATTCATCATCAGAATAAGAAAAACTACATTTTTAGTTTGTAGTGTCCCTTTCCCCGCTTTAACTTCTTTGAAGTTGTTTCAAATTCCTTGCAGTTGTACTTAATTTATGGGTGTATTTTAGTCGAAAAAGGGTTAAAAGAAGTCCGAAAAGGGTGCAAACATATCTACAAAGAGTGGTGCGAATGCATTTGTAGCTGTACCGTTATAAGATAGGAAAAGTATTGCCAAACCGATTTTGAGTTATATTTTTGAAGCGCCATATTACAAAAATTATTTTTAGCATCTTTTTTGGTATACATATATGTTCGAAAAATTTTATTTGATCGTCCCAAACCTTCATAGATTGTGTTTTTTCCACTGTTTAGGCCACTATTATTGAACCAAGTTCAATCAGTGATAAAACACGAAAACTTAAATGGAACAAATAGAGGAAAAAAGACTTACACTTAATGACCATTATGTACAAGTACAAATTCATCACATCATTATAATTAACGTACCTGAAAGTAAAGAAAAAAGATATTTTTATTAGTCGTTTCGCAATGGTTATTGTGATAAATAATTTTTATTATCAAATTAAGCTTTTAATGTTTTGCTCAAAATATTGTATAAGAAACTAAAAAAAGTAAGTCATTGCTAACCACTGTTAGTAGGGTGTTTATTAAATTAAGTATTACACTTCTATTACATAACCAATTGCAATTAAATTTATTTCATTTAAGCACCAAAAACAAAACACGAAACAAATTTCGCTTACTGCACACAATCGCTCAAACCAAAATAGAACCTCTGAAATTGTTAACATTAAACACAGTTCGTTGGCTACTGGCAAAAATAAAAATCTGAAAGCCGCCAAATAGTACAGCGATTTTCTTCTTTACTGCCTCGCATCAAAGCAGCAGTAGAAGCAGAAGAAAAAGAAGCCCCTTACAACATTTGCTGCTCCACGACCGCCTGCAATACTTTCTTACTATGGTTAAACGTCTACAAGCAGCACTTGAGTGGCGCCTTAAAATAGGCTACAACAAGAAAGCAGTTGGAGGAAGTGAAGCCGAATTTCGAAAGAAAAAAAGAAAACAAGACAAACATATTTCAAGCGCCAGCTAATGGCCTCCTCATTGGCTTCCTCGGTTGAGTTGCGCATACAATCTTGGCATGAAGCACGCTGCCGAGGTAATTAAAATAGCTACTAAAGGTAACGGTATTGTAAGTGAGCACACAAAAAAGCGTCGTTAAATTTTTAAAGCACAATTTTGTGAGCATACGTCGGCGTAATTTTTTTCCTTTTCATTTTCATTTTCATTTACCACACAACATTGCTCTGCTTTGAAGTGCAGAGCTGCATTCGATGAAAAAGAAGGAGAGACAAAAAAATATATATATTCTATACACTAATTCAATTTGGCAATTATGTTTTGAAACAATGCTTTGTTGTCATAATTACGCGCTGTTCACTAAGCCATTCTTCACACGCGACACACACATACGAGTGAGTACAGCCATTCATCACCACCCCCGCTTAGCATATATCTCTAGCCTGTGCATAATTTCTTGCAACAACAATTGTGAAAGCCAATAAGCGCGCAACGCACCTCTCAGCCGTACATACATACATACTCCACCCACCCACCCGGCTGGCTGGTGACAATAATTACTCATGTCGGAAATTGTCCTCTGATGCGTATACACATACAAAGTTGATGCAAAGCGTCCCCGCACAGGGATGCACCACAGGAAAGGTAGGCTGCTTTTCTTCGTCGCTTTAGCATTTTCAACGCGCATCGACTAGCATTCGCTGGCCTCCGCTCCCTCTTCGAGCGAGCGCCTTGAATTAACGTAAGCCTCTGGGGTTTGGCGTTCAATGGTGGAGCTGAGTGGAGCAGAGTGACGCGGCGGCGGCGGCGGCGGCGGCGGCGGCGGTGATGCTGCTGATGGCGCAATACGTGCATTGAATTTTTCTTGCGCTTTGCTGTGCCCAATTTTTTCTTTCTTTTGCCCTAAAGGGCGCTTTTTTCATGGGGTTGCGGATTGTTGTGGGGCGCAGCGTTTTAATTCTTCTGGGGCAATGCACAAATTGAGTTGAGTCGTTTGCGCCTAACGGCACGGCACAGGCAAGTAAGAGTGTGCAAGTTAAATGCCAATTAAATACGTGAGAGACGCAGGGTTGCCAACTTGGGTATAAAAAGTATAGATATGATTTGAAAATTATTGCTGCATACCAAAAAAAATTTGAATTAATTAAAAAAGATATATCGATGGCTGAGTGGAAGATCGACCTATCTCGGCAGCCAGTTCGAAAACGCTCTATCACAAAAAACTTTTCAAGAACGCCCTATTTCAGAATTTCAGAATTCGTTTCAAAAACGCCCTATCACAGCTGCCGATTCAAAAACGCCCTATATCAGCATATTTTCAATACATTTTGAAGTGGGATAGGGCGTTTTTGAACCGAATTTTAAGATAGGGTGTTTTTCAATTAAATTCTGAAAAAGGGCGTTCTTGAAAAGTTTTTTGAGATAGAGCGTTTTTGAACTGGCTGCCGAGATAGCTCGATCTTCCACTCAGCCATCCATATAATATCTAAAAATATAAAAAATAATTAATTACAAAATTTGTTGCTCACACTTTACCTAACCAGTCATAATTATCAGCGCTCTCACATGAACTGGATTGACCTGACAATGTAGACGGAATGCCGTTGTTGTCTTGAAGACTAAGATACCTCGGAACATATGCTGTGTGATCGTCCAGAATTGACCACAGACTTCGATTGAAATATCTAAATCCATTAACTGTGAAATCTTTTTTTTTAAGTACATATAAGTAATTCGGTACTGGGGCACATTAAGGAAGTGGGTAATAAAACGAAAAAAGTATTTACAGTCTAGATTGGTATTTGTTTAACATAATAGTCAGTGAGGAACCGTTAGGCATCTCATCTACACGTACAAATACATAATACATATGCATATTTTTTGTAAATGATAATTGAGGTTCTCTCCCGGCATAATTTCGAAAGCTACTAAGAAATGTGGTTTTAAGTTTTCCTATAAATTCGCAATAAATTTTGGTGGTGGACTTCAAAATAGTAATTCGCATAAAGGAGTTAGTATTGGTGACAGGTAAAATTCAAAAGTGTATGAAAAAATTTCATTACCAGGTTTTAAGTAGAAAATTATGAACACTTGGCATGGCATTCATTCAATGTGTTGCTGAGATCTCACAAGTGGAAATAACAACAAAATGTTTTGTGCTCGAGTGAGCTTTTTAACTTTGAAAGAGGCTGAAAACTCTATTTGGTATCACTGTGTGCGTATAATGGTCTATGTACACTTAGAGAGGCACTCACCCACCATTCAAACCTAAACAGGATGTAGATAGTGTTAAGTGCCTTCCTTCCCTGTTTCTTCACCCTTCCTTTTGCAGACAAGGTTAGAGTTGAGGATAACTCCCAGAAATTTAGATAATTTTGACTGTTTAAAATTTGGATTGGGCTAGAATCCTGTCTATTTCAAGGTATTTCGCGAAAACGGCTAGTTTAGTTCACTAAAGATTATAACCAGGCCCTTCATTCCCAGAAACATAGTAGCTTTGTCGTAAAAGAGAGATGACAAAACTTCAGCGACCGTCGAAATTAAGCACATACTCGTTCAGAACGATGTTCCAAAGCAAAGTATTTCGAAGTGCATTTTTCGTACTTCAGCGATACATATTTCTAAGAAACCACTGATGTTTCTCCTACACAACACATTGCCGATCCAGCGAATATTCAATGAATTCAGCCCTCCAGCAACTAAAGTAAAGTGAATGAATAGCAAATTTCAGTTTGCTAAAAACGTCTTCCACATTCAGAAAGGCACTTTTGTGCTACACACAAACATTTTCGAGCTTTGTCCCAAAAATTTACGCTTACGTCATTCGAATTGGATATTTTCGTTTTTCCTTTTAACTATCTCGGAACAATTTACTACAACTGCTACCGATATACATACATACAATACAGATAAACATACATACAGAATACGCCTGCTGCTACAGGCTTGATTAAAAGTGCGTGCGCGCATTTTTGCAACTGCGTTTTTCGGCAACCCAAATTGTAGAAATTCTACTACAAATACGAAAATTCTCTCCAAGCAAAAACCCGTTTTAGTGCGTGCCTCGAAATGTTATTCCTTGCTGTTTTTCTCATATTTGTTTATTATTATTTTTCTGCTTTGCTGTTAGTCGTATTTTTCGGTGTGTATAAGCTTTCGTTGGCGCATATACTGTTGTACGAAACGCACCCTAAATTCATTGGGGGCTGTTTTAGGCCATTGAACGATGGGCTGACGACATGCTTCGCCGGCTGGTTGGCTTGCTGATGTACTGGAATTAATTTCTCCCCAAAATGGATTTCGGTTAAATTGCATTAAAATCGTGCGGCATGAGAATACAGTACATTTAGTGGCATTAAAGTTTAAAGGAATAGTTGTGTTAAGAAATTTATTTTTATTTTTTTTTTTTGATCGTTTATAGTTTTAAAGGTTAGCATTTTGGTCTTCTTCCCACTGAAGGTCAATATGAAAAGAGTAACTACCTAAGCCCCAAAATGAGTTTATAACTTATAAAACCTACATTTTAGACACAAAAAATCCATTTATTCGCGAAACTAGCGACCAAAAATATATGTAGAAAATTGCGTTTTCAGTTTAACTCTCTGACTTCAGGATTTTTCTTAAAAGACTTTGAAATTATGAATTTGAATGATTAATTCAAAAAATTATTTTAAAAATTCAGTGAAATCATATAAAATGGAAAATTCTGTAGTATTAAAAAAAAAAAAAATTTTTAGAGCATGAGGACGAATAGGTATTGAAAATGCCCCTTTAAAGCGTTATCCTTGAAAATCCTTGAAAATTTTCAAAATTTTTTGTTTTGAGAAAATTATATCGCACACCTAGATCCAAAGTGCAACCACTGGGCGATTTTTTTGTATAAATCAATTTAAAGGACTCACATCCAATTAAAGGAAATATATTTTTCTTCATGATTATACACATTACAGCAGTTAAATTTCCCTCTCTGAATTTTGAGTTAGCTCATTTTAGATCTAAGTGTGCGATATTTTAAGGACTAATATACACACGACCACATCTTAAAATTTCGTCCTACTAGATTAAGAAAAAATATAAAAATTATTAACATCTAGTTAATTTTAATTGAAATTTTTATAAAATTTTGCACTTGCAGTTTCCCCAATGATTCAATTTGACAGATGAAAATATCCTAATCAGGTATGTTAGTAAGTAATAACAGATGTTTCAAACCAATAAAGTCAGGCATGTCATTTTGCCAGCTGTCTAAATTTTTTCTAAATATCTAATAGGTTCGAGGGAGTCTTGCAGTGGTCTAAAATCCCTGATGAAATTTTACATAACTTGCGAGCTTTACTTAAATCCTCCCTGTCTATTCGGCAAAACATTTATTCTTGTTTCATTAACCCCACCACGAACACTCCGGAATTGCAAAACAAACTTCGAGTGCGACTCTCTTTTATCAGACCATTTGATACCGATGCGGGATCTTTATATCCGTTTAAGGGAAGATTAGTCGGAGTGGAATCTTTAGAATTAGAGTAAGATAAATTGATTTATGGATGGATCGAAATTGTATGGACGGGTGGGTGGAGGTGTTTTCTGCCAGGAACTCTCCACCAACCTCAAATTTAGGCATGTGAGAATATACTCTGATAGACAGGCAAACGCGATATTACAGATAGCTGCTGGACCGAAGAACGATTATGGCAGTGCACTCGTGAGCGTGTCAGGCTCTATTGACCACATTTGGTTAGCTTCCGGAACGATGGGTGTCTAATAAGCTCAGCGAGCGCATGGCGAAAAACTTGTAATCCAAGATGTCTTAAGTACTTCTGGCCACGTCTAAATCGGTTGCGGTCTAAGAAGCTCTTAAAACTAAACAAGATCCACTCTCGATACTAGTGTGAGTATTAACCGTCCATTGTCCGAATCGCATTTATCAGGTCAGACTCAACAGCGCCTCAATCCGGTATATGTTACTTGCCGGTCCAGCTCACACAAACTTAACGTTTAACACCTGTAGTCTCACCGCACCTGATGACGCTTAGGGAATAGATATTAGTAACTCATAAAACTTTGTTGAGGACGCTCAGCTTTTTTCTATATCGCCAACAGATAAGCGGAAACATGCGATACTCCTCTCTTCTTTATCGTTGGTTGGGTATAGGCCGAATGTTGGCAATTCCGGGTCTGGTCTATCTGACTTCATGGAACCAGGAACCAGATAGACCAGACCCAGGCCTGCCAGCATCAAGCGTGGATCCACTAGTATACCAAACAATGGCCGAAGGAGGATTCGAGACCTCGGAGGTCTCTTCATTTCCCGCTGCCTATGTTACGTAATCGCAAGGCACATCAGTTAGATAATCTAAAATTCCCTTCAACGTCTTGAGCTTTCTAACCGGCTATTGCTGGGTATCGAAAAGGTTATTGGGCCGCTTGAGCGACACTTTGAAGAAAAAGTAACTGCTTTGGGCCAAAAGAATGTCAGTCGGCAAAAGGAACATTGATCCCTAATAAATGCTTTCAGGTAGGACTATCTCAATAAGACCTTTTCATTGGAAGTTCCTTATATTATAAAATACTTAAACAGTCCTGCCATTCAAAGACAGATTAGAGGGTATGTTTTCAAAGCAACGGAAGTTAAATCAACAAACCAATCGCTTTCAAAGCGAATGCCACGCCAAAGCTGGCTAACTCAATACTCGGAATAAGAAATTTGGCTCCAATCATAGTCCAAATAAATACCTCAAGAAAATGTAATTAATTGGACATTGAATTTGAAGCAATGCTCTACAAGGCCGGATTAAGAATGTGGGGGCCCTTTTTGAGCTAATAATTACGTACAATTAAATGAAAAAATAATTATATTTTCATTTTAGTAGTATCGTTAACAATTGACTTCTAAGCAGCTGTTTTCTTTTGAAGTATTAAACGACTGACCACGGCAGTCTCGCACAAAGATGGAATGGTACGAATATTTTGTCTTTTTGATCCGGCTTATTCTTTCTGCCTGTACTCTCTCACCCCTTAAAGTTATTATTTCCTTGCAGGTTGTTGAGGATAAATAAATTGCTTGCCCTCGTCCCTTATTTCCGTATTCTTAGACGTGTGCGGGGGTCGTTCTGAGATATTAGTTCCAACATCTTACGAAAATTTCCATTATTGGGTGAGTCGAGAATCTCGCCAGAGCCAGCAGAAGCTAAGCTAGGTTCCGCAAGATGTATTGATGGTGCTGACAAATCTTCTTAATACCTAGCGATCTTTTCTGTAATCTATGAAAAATTATTATTTCTTGCTCTTACGTCATCACATGTGGGGGCCCTGGGCCGCGGGCCCTGCCTTTAATCCGGCGCGGCGCTGATGCTCTACTAAAAATTTAGACGTCAAAGGAAAGTAGGTTGCTAATTAAATCGTTTTCGAGTCGTAAAGAATTCAAGGACTTATTTCCAGGCCCTCGTAGATTTTTATATATTTTATTTTAAAATGTATGGGCTTCAATATAAGGGTTGCAAGCAGCAACTAACAAATGCATAGAAACTTCGAAAGAGAAATGAGTAAATATAAGCACACTTTCCCCGGATATGCAATACGGAAGCTGCAAACGTTTGCTGTTGTTGTTGATATCGCTGCAGGCGCAAAATTGCCATAATAATATGACTAAATAACTTGTGCATGTATGTATGTATGTATGCATGTTTGAAAGCGAGTTTATCGCATAACATTTATTACTTTTTATTTTTGGTAGTACGTAATTTCCACGCCACTGCCACTGATTCAGCGGGCAATGCAAGTAAACTGACAATTTGCTGCCGCATGCAACACAAAGAATTGTATACATATGCCGAGCAAAGCATGCAAAACGAAAGTTCAAACCCTGCCTGCAGTGAGGTGAACAACAAATACAAAAACTACCAGCATGCTTATAAGAAACAACAACAACAACAAAATATTAGAAAGTAAAATGTGCGCACTCGTGCATTCATGCAATCGCTCAAACACACATATGTATGCACATGCAACCCCTTCCCCTATCACTTGAAGGGGTTTGTGAACGTGTGTGTGGGGTAAATAATCAAAGCAAACAACCCCCAGGCGGCGCGCCGTATTGCCACTGCTTGATAGTAGTCGCAGATACTTTCTGCCACAGTCCCTTGGTGCCACTTGAAAGGCTAAGCGCCGCCACCGCTACTGTTTGTTGTTTGTGCGACTGCAGGCAGCCTGATGAAAGCCTTTCCTCGTCATTGCGCGCAGGGCACCTACATACATACATACAGACATTCATAGATAGGTACATATTTGTGAGTTGTCTGATTGAATGCGCTGGTTGCCTGTCGGCCGCTACTGCAATGCAGTGTACTCGCGCCACCAGATTTTTGGCTAAGATTGGCAGGCAGGAGCTTATTGGCTGCGGCACAGTGTTTTAAAAGTATTAACCGGCATTAGTCAAAAGAAGCTACAAATAGAGCGTTTTAAGATTTTATGAGCAAATCGATCGTACTCCTTTAGTAACAAATGAAAAATTATTTAGAAATTATTAGCAAAATATTTTGCATTAGGGTTGCCACTTATTTAAAAATTAATTTGACTTAAAATGGATGCAAATAAATTAATATAGGTACATATGTAAAATAAAATCGGTATCATATTCAAGAGTGATCAAATTCCCAAGTATTTTTACGGAGTTGCCACCTATCCAAAAATGTATATTATCTGAATAGATGCGAAAATATGTATGTACACAGATTGCAATACAAACGATAGATGTTGGATTAGGATTTAACTTAAGCAATTTTTTAAATGTAGTTGCCACCTATTTGAAAAATAATTTTGAATGAAAAGTGTAAACAAAGTAAAATATTGCAATATATATATAAAAAGGAAGATATTTGAGGGCAAATTAATTACCAAATATTTTGGCAAAGAATTGCCTCCTATCTAAAAAGATCAATATATGTAAATGGATACCAAATGTAGGTAAAATATTTATAATAAGGGTATCTAATAAAACATGCCGGATTGAGATTTAACTTAAAAAAAGTTAAATGGAGTTGCCACCTATTTATAAAACCAATTTTAATTAAGTTTTAAAATTAAGTGAAATAGTACAGTACGATTTTGAAGGGCATTCCCAAGAATTTTCGCAAAGAGTTGCCACTTATCTAAAAAAGTTAAACAAAATAAATGAAGTTGCCAACTATTTAGAAAATATGTACATACATAATTTTGAATTAAATTTCAAAGTAATAAAATCATGAACATCAAACGCTAGATAATTAAGAGCACTTTAATTCCCAAGTATTTTTGAAGAGTTTTCACTTATTTAAAATTTATATAATTTAAATGGATATGAAAGAAAAGTAAAATATCACAAAAAAAGGTGTCAAACGAAAGGATTTGGCTTAACCCTTAGCCTGAACACTTTTTCGAATGGAGATGCGACTTTACATAAAATTAGTTAATTAATTAAATTACCTATCAAAAATAAGTATCAATTGACTAATTATGCGAAATATTTAAATTTGAATAATATACTGTATATTTGGAGTTGCCACCTTTTAAAAGAAATATAATATTAGTTAATGTATTAACCACCTTTAAAAAAAAAATAAGAAAATGTAATCATGTGAAATCATGAAAATGTCACGGTCTAAAAAAATGTTTATTATTATACTGTCAGGTATTTTATTAATTTTGACCCCTATTTGTCCACACTCGCACCACTGTGTCCACAGTCAGATTGCTCACTGTTAAGAGCCTGTGTTGTTTTTCTCATGTCATAGCGCATTAGATTTCCTAAGTGCATGTTGCACGTGCTGCATGTGCCGCATTGCATTAGAACATAATGCGCTCGGTTGTGAACCTTTTGCCTTAACCCTCGACTTGCTAAAGTTCATTTACTGCGCTTACATACATACATACATATTTAGGATGTGCATACATACCATACACTCCACCTTTGCGAGCGCGCAACGCGCGGATATAGTGCTTCAATCAACTTGCCACCACACGCTGCAACACCACCCCACCAACGTGGCAACATAGTGTGCTTTTTTGTTAAAAGATTTTTTAATGAAGCATTTTCATTTTCCAGTTTTTCACTTTTTACACACAAGTGCGCAACATTGTAAAGCTTGGCAGGAGGGCACAAACACAACACAACACATTCATCATATGCATTAAAAAGGGATGTTTGAATATGCGCGTTGAAATCCGTTTGCTTTGCAGTTAAATGAACTTTGTTGCATTTTGTGCGCCGCAGCGGATTAAGTAGTGGCAGCCCACTGAGCACGAGGAGTGAGTGTGCTGTGTGCAAGTGTTCCGTGTCGCATGTGAAATTGTTGCCAATTGCATTTGTGTAACGAATGCATAGAGCAGCCTCGCGTACACCAGAGAAGAGTTGCGCGACGACCACTTCTGCTTTCCTGTTTTTTCCCCCCCGAGTTGATGGCAGGAGGCTTTGGAAGCGTGTGCAGGTTTTTTGAAAGTTATTATTCTGGTTTTTATGCTGCAGCAGCTGGCTGCTGCCCGCCCTACCGCTTTGGTTCTTTTAAGTGCAAAATATTTTTTTTTCGATTTTTTCCGCAGCGTAGCTTAAAAAAGGAGGATTTGCTTACTTTTGGTTTACCTAATATTTTTTTATTATTATTCTTCATTTTTTCGTTGCTATTTTGCTTTTTAGACACGCTCAGTGAACAGTAAATTTAATGATCGCAATTAGTGCAGGAACCTGTAAAAAGAACGATACTGCAGTTGAGAAGATTTCGTTTGCTAGCGTTCCGTCGACGGAGTTTTTTTTTTATTGTTTTAGCTTTTATTTTTATTAGCACACTTTCTGGCGCACTTTGGATGCAATATAAAAGACGTTAAACATGTTGGCAGGTGTGGTTTGATTCTGGTTGTTTACAAGATATTTCCTTTTTCTCATTCAGTAATTTTTATGAAAGGTTATTTTGCAATAAGTGCATGTTCGGCAAAGGATGTATAGAGTAAACTTAATTCTATTTTATTTTTTAAGTTTTTGATTTTGTTGCTTTTTCCATTTTTGCTAAAAGCAATCGTGGTGAGCTTAATAAAGTTTTCAATAAGTTTATTTTATTTTCATTAATTTTGTTTTATTCAAATTTATGTGGGTATATGGTTTTATTTTATTGTAGTGTATTTTATTAAAATTATAATTTTTTTTATTCTTATTATCTTGTTAGTTTAAAATTTTTATTTTATTTTACTTTATTTTATTTTAATAAATTGTTTCATTTTTATGTTTCATTACATTTTGTTTAATTTTTTACTTAACTTTTTTGATTAACAAATATATTTTTTTAATTCAAATATTTTTTATAGTATTTTTATGTATTTTATTGTTTATATTTAATTTTATTTTTTATTATTTTTTAGATAATTTATTATTTTTTTATGTTATTCAAACTGACTTATTTATTTTCATTTCCTTACACTTTTTGAATTCAATTTAGGGTTATTTTTTTAATTTCACTTTTACCCTTTTGCTAAGTTTTGTTTAACCTTAATCAATCTTAATCTTCAATCTTTTTTATTTATTTTTTAATTTTTTTAATTGATGTTAGGTTAGTTTGTTTGATTTTAATTAAAGTTTTTGCTTAGTTGTACTTTACCTTTTTTATTTTTTATGAACTTCTTTTATTTCACTTTATTTTATCATATTTTTTGTTTCATTTTATTTTACCTTATTACCATTTTAGTTTGCTTTTCTTACTTTTTATCAAAATCAATCAATCAATCAATCAGCAAACTTTATTTTTTTTTTTGCTTCATTTAATTTTTTAAATTAATTAAGGTTTCTTCTTTTATTTTTTTTAAATCTTTTATTTAAGTTTTATTCTACTACCAAACAAAAAAATATTGTATATTTTTATTTAGTTCTTTTAATTTCATTGTATTTTATAAATTTTTAATTTGTGTTTATTTTATTTTTATAAATCTTTTTCTTATTTTATTAATTAATATCGCTCTGTTTTATCTCATTTTATCTAATTTAACTTTGTGTATGCATTTTTGCATTTTTTATATTTTTTTCGTATGATATGTATTTATTTATTGAATCTTACTTTCGAAACTAACAAGTTTTCAAATCCTACAAACTACCATTAAATTTAAAATTTCTGCGGCAATGCTTTGAATTTGTTTCAGTTGTTATCCCTGGATATCGTGCTGGGCAGGCGGTCAGAAAGGACGAGTTCCAAAGCCGCACTGCCTGGGCGGGTGGAAAGGACTAGTTTGTATTATTTTAATATCTTTTTCAATTTTTTGTTTTTATTTTATGCTATTTTTCATACTGTTTTATCTTATTTTCTTATTTTATTTTATTATTTATTTTGTATAATTTATTTTATTAATACTATTTATATTTAATATTTTGTTTAATTTTTCGATATCGATTAATCGATATTTTTTATTTTATTTCATTTCAATTTATTTTATTTTTATTTCATTTTGTCTTTTTTATATTTGTTTCCTTTTATTTTATTTTACTTCATTTTATATTTTTATTTCCTGTTGTTTCATATTGGTTTATTTAATTAATTTTTAAGTTTTTAATTGTAATTTATTTTACTTCTCAGGAGTCTTCGAGTAATAATTAATTTTTTTAACTAGTTTAGTTGGTTATTTTTTGAGTTTTATTCCATTGATTAAATTTTTTAATTTTGTAAGTTTTTTTATTATTTTTTATATTATTATGGAAGAATTTTGCTTTGTTCTATTTTATTTTATTCTGTATATGTATTTTATTTTGTTTTATTAGATATTTCGCTGCCCTAATGTTATACACACATACATATCAACGCAAAAGTGTATATTCATTCTCATTGGCTGAAAACTTAAAACGTGAAATTGCGAGTATTGCACATGCAAATTTCCTTCCAGACTGCCGACGAATTAAAACCGCACAACCCACACGAATTGCAAAACACGATCACCTCGGTTAAAAGCGCATTGGTGCATTTTAGACTCGACGACTGCGTGCGCATGCAATTAAAAAAAAAATCGCAGATGTTCGTTTTTGTAGGCAGTGCAACTTACAGTAAAGTAACAACAACAAGGCCTTGGTAGGCTGGTGTAGGTGAGAGAATTCACAAAAGCGCACACTGCAAGAAAACACGCTAATACACCGATAGCGACTGTGTACTTGTTGTAACAGTGGACTTGGCAATTCGAGCAAAAAAATTATACGCCTGGGGTTTAGACCAATGAAAAGACTCTTGGCAACGAAGTGCAACGATGAATATATTGCAGCCGAGTTTCAGGTGCTATGTATATGTAAGTATGCATGATCATCAGAAAGCTTTCGGTAGAGCATTTCAGATTTTTGTTTTTCTTGATAAATGATACTCGTATATTGATGAGTTTTGAATATTTTAGTTTGTGGATAAAATTGTTTAGGCTAATTAAAAAAAAAAAATATTTGTGCACCACTACAAAAATCCGCCATTATAAAATTTCCTACTTTTATTCAATCATTTTCTTATGAAAATTTCTATACAAAGAAGCTTCCTACAGTTACTTAAATAGTTACTCTCTTGAAAATACTAGTGGTTGAATTATTCGGATTTTCTGTTCCCATGACCATCTTGTTGTTGGTAGAAAGC